TTCACGAGCAAAATCATATAAATTTTAAAAGCAGCATACGTGTAGAATTCCAGGTCCCACTGTTAAGTGTTGGCCTAATATTTTTCGATTTCCTTCAGTCATTTTACAGTTTATCATAACAATGTTCAGTTTTCTTAGTAAGAGGGCTTGGAATACTTTATCTCTTTATTACTGACGTTTTTTGTGTTAACTTATTTATCAAATATCCGCAGTGTTGAGGCTTCACTGAAAAAAAAGGTGTTCCAAAATATAGATAGGTATTTATCAAATATCCTGTTCTTCGCAATTATGCCACTTAATCCAATTATGCTAATCCAATTACGCAATTATGCCACTTAATTCAGCCAAAAAAATCACAAAATAATTAAAAACGGCATATCTTTAGAATTTTCGGTAGACAGTCTCGCGAGCTGAAGATAAAAATATTTCATTCCGTACAGTGCTGCCACTGCTCACCTTCAAATCATGGAGTTCTTAATCAAAAATACAGGGGTTGGACAAAAATATGGAAACACCTTTAAAAAAACATGTTTCTTTGCTTAATATGGTGTAGGAAACCCTTTGGCATCCAAAACAGCTTGCAGTCTTCTCGGAATGGATAAATACAGCTCTTGTATGTTTGCCGAGGGAATATTATACCATTCTTCCGCAAAACGGTGCAAGTTCGATAACGATGTTGGCGGTGGATAACGAGAACGCACTTTCCGTTCCAATGTAGACCACAAAGGTTCGATAATATTCAGGTCTGGTGACTGTGGTGGCCAGGGGAGATGGGACAACTCTTCCTCGTGCTCAGAAAACCAGTCCTGGACAATGTGAGCTGTGTGAACAGGGGCTTTGTCGTCTTGGAAGACATGCGACATGCGACGGGGGACGTGGGCACCACCCCTTTACCGTCGGTTAATTGGTGTAGCGCCCCGTCCACCAATATCTAGAGTTGAACCTTGAGTCTTTCAAAAGAGCAATTACATGGCCATACAAGGGCTGTTAATATTTAGTACCATCACCATCGGGGAACAAAGTTTGCACCATGGGATGATGAATAACTGTGTCAGGGCACATGACTGCCAAGACTTATGTGATCGGCCAAAATGTTTACATAAGTCTTGGCAGTCATGTGCCCTGACACAGTTATCATGGGGCTAGCAGAGAACCACGATATGGCTGCCCAAACCATAACAGAACCCCCGCCATGTTACAATCTTGGCAACAAGCAGTCTGTATTATAGGCTTGAGATGGCGTTCTCCAGACATAAACTCGGCCAGAAGTGGGAAACAATGTGAAAAAAGACTCGTCAGACCATATTACTCGCTTCCACTGCTCTATAGTCCAGGCTTTTATGACTTAAACACCACCTTTTCCTGTTACGAACATTAGCATCACTGATGAGTGGCTTCTCAATTGCAGCACGGCCAGCAATTCCCTGTTTATGAAGCTTCCCTTCTAATTGTTTTGGTACTCACAGGGTTCGGTAACACAACATTCATTTCAGCAGTAACTTTTGCAGCTGTGGTCTTCTTATTTTTCGTCACAATTGCCCTTAATGATCGTCTGTCACGATCACTCAGGACACACTTTCGTCCGCGCTGTGATTTAGCAGATGATGTTTTTCCGCTTTTCAAATATGCGGAATAAATCTTCGATACAGTACCTCTTGAAACACTAAACACTTCAGCTACCTTGCTTACGGAAGCACCTACCATACGTGCTCCAACAATTTGCCCACGTTCGAAGTCTGTTAACTCTGACATAATGCAATGACAACATCACATAACAGTACTCCGACAACAACTGAACTGTTTAGCACATTTATGAAGTTGTATAGGTGGCGTCAGTAGTCAAAAACGCCAGCGCCACCTACATATTTCAGTAAAATCAATCTTTCTTTTCAAACATGCATTTCACAAGGTGTTTCCATATTTTTGTTCATCCACTGTATTTTTAAAGTTTTAGAAAATATGAAATAGAAAACAAAATAAATTCGAAATTCTAAATTCGGGAAGACTATGTTATTCAAAATGTAATGAACCTAGGTACCGTCGTTTTTCAACAATGCGAGGAATATGCAACACATACATACACGCAGACTGTTCATTATCTAATTTCTTTAAAAATTATACGGGACAGTAATATTTCGAACCACCCCTCAACAGTTTGAAAAGCGATATGCCGTTTATAGTGGTTCAATGCAAAACTTCATTTCGAGACTGATAGTTTATTTGAGATAATAATTCTAATAATTTTTCCGGGCAATAAATGTTATGTTAAATACGAAATTTAAGCAAACAGGTTTTTTAAATAGTTTCATTTACAGTTTGAGTCAGGAAAACTGATTTTGGAAACTAAGAACATCATCATGCGAGTCTAGTCGATACAGATAATATTGATAAAAAAATCTGATGTGTACACCACATGACTTCCTTGAACGGAATATTAAATTATACGCATTTTTTCTTGCATTTCATTTAAACTTATTTCATTGAATTAAATCTACTTCGTCGACAGCTCATAAACCACAATAGAATAAATGCACTCTTTAAAACTCACTATATTTGTTTACAATAGCGACACATTGGCGCTAAGTTCACTTAACAGCGTTATATTTCGTTCATATTACAACTCAGAATGCCCACAATTTATTTCATTTGAAGAATTATCTAATCGTTGCCACATGTTCTATTCAAATACTATAATAAATCTAAAACGATGTATAAAGAAATTAAGCAAACACACACAAAAAAAGAAACAGTTTTGCACAGACGATTCACTATTTCTCGTTCAAGTAATTCAGTTCTCACTTCCCGCCAAGGCAAAAATACATAAAAACTCAAAATATCTATATTAAAAATTACGAAGTAAATCAAACACTTATTTTCTCGAATAAATTCCAGAAGGGATTGAGCATGATTTAATTCCCAGTAATAAGAAAAGGCGTTATCTTTGCTGTTGCAAAGCTTAGTCTTTCTAGATTGGCAGCAAATCTATGATTCAAATGTAAACAAATATGTTCGCCATGTTATTTAAAAATTAGGCTTAACTGCATTTAATCAGCTTTTAAATTGTTGAAAATTGTACAAATATTGCTTGAATATTTACTAAAGGCATAAAAACCTTAACCGGAAGAAAAAACAACATAATTCAATCATTTTTAAGGCAAAAAATGCGCAATTTACAAACATATAAGAAGAGTAAAGAAACTGAGATTAGTGAGCCGGGTAACATAATGGATATATATATATAAATATATTTATATACGTTTGGTGCGGCCGATTGCAACCAAAATACGAGGCGCACATCTACATGTTATAGCAGTCTTATATACAAAATTTCAACGTTCTGAGGCTACTCGTTTTTGAGTTATGCAAGATACATACGTACGTACAGACGCCACGAAAAATTCTCTTCAGATTTCATTTTAAAGTTTTATAATTTTTTTTGGTGGAAAAGAGTCTTTTATTCTGTCCTTACGTACAGCTGTCACGCAAAAAAATCGTTAAATTACATTCGATAGCGGTCAAAAAGGATATTTTCGTAGAAATATGCTGCCTGAAAATTTTCGCGATTAGAATACTTCCTTTTACTTCGTATATGGAAGTAAAACATTTCTTGGAATCTTTTTCAATGTTATCAATTTCAAAATAAATTTATCAATCTGCTTATTATTTTTACCGTTGTACTAATTAAGGAAGCTGACAAGTATTAAGGGAAAAACTGCACAAATGTCCTTTCGAAATTATAAATAAATTTCTCAACACTGAATAAGGAAATAGACATTTTGAGACTTGGCAGAATTAAAAAGCGATAACAAGAAATAAAAAATACTCTAATTTTACCATTTTCACTAAATGAAAGATATAAAGAGCACATACGCATTGAATAACAACAGCATATTGAACTGTTTCAGGCGTATAATATTCAGATCAATTTATTAATTTCAGTATCATAAGTGCAGGTACGTTATGTTACATAACAATGAAATATTTTAACAATTGCGAGAATACTCTTTATTAATTACATTCATTGGTTGAAAAGTAAGTATATATCATATTAAGCATCATAAGTGATTGTTTCTGAATCCTTTCATTCAATGCGATACAATGCACTCAGTTTGATGAGGTTTTATTTCGCTCAATAATTTGGTAATTTTATTAAGGTTTATTCTGAAGCACAGTGTAATTTTCTACTACTAAAACTACTCTTTTAAATGAGGCTTAAATTAATATATGAAAGTTTTAAAATATGTACAATACTAAAATTTGATTTTCATAAGAAAAACTTGCATAGTAATAACCAAAATTTAAAAAATGCATTAAAAATATTACGCAATATTTAGAGTGAGACTAAATCTTAAAAAATATATTAATCAAAACTCATATTTGGAAAAGGAAAAAAATTGAAAAAAATTATGGGCAGGCCTACTTTTCAATTGGAATGTCTAACAGTGTAAAATTTTCTCTTACAAAGGTAGAAAAGAACAATTATAAGAATAAAAACCTTTTTCAACTTTGGAAATCAATTCTCTAAAGTACAACAATAAAATAATATTTTGAAAAATTTTTGTTTATTGTTGCATTTGTAAAAGATCCCTAAAATATCCCTTTGGAGGATGAGATATTTTGAATTTTCAATTTCTCATCCTTTTTTAAACAGTTCAAATATTTTTATGTCATCAGTTAATATAGCATAATAATCCGTGCTAGCAGCAATTTAATTATCAGTAATTAAATATGCAACTAGAAGTTTCTTTCATCTATTTAAAAACAACATATTAAAAGAACAGGGACATAATATACAATAAATTCTGATAATAAAATCCTTAATTTTGGGATACCGTATAGTCGGTAATGATAAAATAGGAAATAATGAAATGGGAAATGTTTTCATGTATTAAGTATAATACTTAAAACATTAATAGTATATTGTCTCATTTTCTCATATGATTTCATTATTTATGTAATTAGAAGTCATGATTAACTCTTAGTGGACTAATAACATCAAATTTTAAATCTTATAACTGTTTTTTAATTTTAGGTTAAAATATCAACAGTATTACACTGTTGTTTACAAGGTTTGTTTAATACCAACAATATTACACTAGTCAGACTCCATAACAAGAAATGAAGTCATGTATCAATAAATTAAGCCTGATCCAACTTGCACTAACTGAAATTCAGATTACTGCAACAGAATTACTTCATTAGGATTGCCGTTTGAAAAAATATACTTGTTTGCTTCTACAATAGCTGCTGGTGGAGGAGGTTCAGCGATAACAGCTACATCTGCTGTATCAGCATTCACAACTCCTGGTTCATTCGACATTAAAACAGCATGAAAACCGTTCTTATCGGCAACATAGTTAACCTGACGATAAAGACCTTGATAGTCTTTATAGCCGTAGTTGCCTTTCACTATTCCATCACCAGCTGTAGCTTCTTGCCTATACTGAGTTGTTCCAATTCCATCGTTAACTCCATAACCGAAAGCGTATGGTTTAGGATCGTTGATTAGAATGGCCGGTCCTGCAACAGGTATGGCTGCTGGTATTTCATACACAACATTTGGAATTTCTTCAGCGCGTTGAGGCACAACAAATGTCCTACCACTTCGCGATCGTGCTGGTAACCCGTCTAATCCATCTACTGAATTGTCAGAGTTCGGGATATAACTTTCTGATTTAGACTGAGTATTGTCACTTACAGTATTAGGTGAGGGCTGAGATGTTTTCATGGCAAGTGCCTCATTCTGATCTTTTGTGGATGAAAGTGCATTACCTTTTTTAGGATCATCTATAGGGATTGCAACTGGACCTTCTGGAGATTTAACACGTTGCACATATCTGCCTAGAATTGGTTTACTAGATCCCTCAACATCTTCACGCCTGAAAGATCTAGGGGATTGTCGCAGTGTCGGTCTTCTAATGCCTAGCCTGGTCTGCATTTGGGTAGCAGATCTCTCATCTACTTTAACAGGTGATCCTCGTCTTTGAGCAGTTACAACTCTTTCTGATCGGGATGATGTGGTCTGCGTACTGCGTCTAGAAGTGCGGCGATTGTTATCCATACGACGAAGAGGCACTATCTTATAGGAACTTTCTAAAAGATAATTTGGTACGGGTCCTCCATCTGTAAATATCACAAAATCTTTCGATGGTAAACGTTCATCAACGGCGACATCGGCATATTGAGTTGGGCTGCCGCCTATAGCATTCCCCAAAATTGTTAATATAATAATTCCACATATGAGCTCCATAACTCTAACTGTAGTTTAAACACGTTTGTGAAAATGCGCGCGAGTTCCCCTTATATATCTTATTAAATAACTGGTGCAAAACCAATCGTCATATTCTGTTACGGAATAGAAGAAACCCATGTCCTTCAATTAAAATGGCAAATACTATATACCTTGGAATGTTCAAAGTGAATGATAGAAATTTTCTTTGTGTTTCGCTAACTACCCAAAGAAATAAGAACTTAAATTTCAAAATAAAGTCAGCAGAAGCAACATTTCAAGCACGCAAGCTCATACACTAAACACGCAGCAATAGCTGTATCTGTTTTCCAAGCATTAAACCGTCAACATATATCATTATTCTCTCTACATGGTTGAGAACATATACTATGAACTGGGTGTGGTTTAATCTGCCGTTAGGTCCTTAATCATGTTTTCTGACAGCTCGTTATAACGCGAAAATACTGAAACTTTCATCAGTTTAGAATTCAATCTCCTCTGAATGAGGTTTAAATACCGGAAAATTAAATGCGCACGCATTCCATGAAAGAATATTTGAGAAAGCATGTTTTTAACACCTATAGTCCTTGTAACACATTAAATTCCCCTTTGTTGACATAAAGAAACGTGCCACTGTGACATCTTACTTTACCTTGACAATTTAAACTCTAATTTGCTTTTTATTGTGCTTTAACGTAAGACCTGTAGTTACTTTGGTTAATATTTTGATCTGTTTACATGTACATATAATTTTAAATTTTTAATCCGAAAACTGAGAGTAAATTGCGGAAAATACGTCTTTATTAATTGCTTAGTTTTAGGTATCCAACTCGTATTTTAAAAATGCAACTTTAATCTTGATAAATTACACTAAATTTGAAGAAAGTGTGATTACTGAGTTTTATTGTAACACATTTATAACAACATTAAAAAGTGATAATAATTTGATTCTTTCACCAAACAGTACTGATGGATTGTATTTAATACAAGAGTACTGAATAATTGTGCATCAAGGAGTACTGAATCACTATTTTACTCCGCATTCAGTTTCGAATAACCCATCTAGAAAACGTCTACAAAATCATTCCAGGTTTATAATTTGTTAATATTTACAAATTTACATCAAAACAACTAATAATTAATTATCCATGAATAACAAAAAATAAAAAGGGCATTACCAAATTATTATTATTATTATATAAATACATGATACATTATCGTACTATCATTAAAAGTGTCCTCATGGTATTAATTTCTAGACAAATATATACAGATGATAACCATCAGATATTTTTAAACCCCTGCTAAGAGAGAGAGAGAGATGAAGGTAAGTTTACTGACCTGAAGTACTCCATTCTGGTGCGCAGTGTTCCCATGGTAACCGACTATTCCAAGAAGCAAACATGTAGAAGATTGTCCATGCAATGATCATATTGTAATACAACATTACTGTCCCTGATACTATCACCATACCGTAGCCAAGACCTAGAAAGAAAGCCATAAAATAAAGAAGTTTGTATTGTAATTTAAATTTTGAAAATACGGCCTATTTCTAGAGCAATATAAAGGCTTAAGTGGGCACTCTACGGTGTAAAGTCACTTGAGTTGCATTACTACCAATGATACAAAATCGTTAGACCTAATTAGTTTTTTGGTTATCTCAGTATTTATATTGCTTTTGCAAGGTGGTGAAAAGATAAAGGCACTGTAAATTGACATAAATTTTTCATTTCATAAATTTACGTAATAAATGTTCTAAATTTTTTAGCGAAATCCATTGGTTCTATTCAAGTGATGCATCCCGAATGCGATTCTGGAATGAATAACTGTTTTCATTTTATGCACGAATAAATCGAAAATATGAACATTCACACAACCTTGCCAGGATGAAATCCTAATGCATTTCCGGGGAATACAGAAATTTTAAACTTCGTATTTTTGATGCAAATGTATACCATTTCTTGAATTATAAGCTGTAAATCACAAATCTTATAACAACTTTCTGTTTCAAATTTTTACAGGAATCGATCCAAAAAGAAATTACTTATTGCTACAGAAAATATCCGATTCTGATTTCTTCAAGCGCGTTTTCGTTAAGTTTTATATTGTCCTCGATTGTATGAAATTTGATACATTAAAGCTTATAAGGTATTTTCTCTCTGCTTCCCGCGTGCCCTCTTGGTGTAATTGGAAGCATATTCGGTGCATATTCGGGAAGTCCAGGGTTCGAGTCCCACCGAGGGCGTTGCACATATTTAATGTCTTCTACATCAAAATAACCTAACTACTCTACGAGCTATTAATGAAATATTTCAGGTCTCATAACTTTAAATCACATGGTCGCTTTCGTGTTAACAGTTGAAGTGAATTTAACATTTTGAGATTGTGCAGTAATCTGTATTACCTTCAAACCGTTTGAAAATCAGAAAAACATTAAAAAAGCAAAAGAATAGCACTTTTATTAAGATTTAAATTGTTTTATATAATGTTATTCTCATAAAATATAACACAAACTTTCATTATTTTTCGATACTACAGCAATGCCTGAGTTAACAAAGAAACTGGTTTCGCTTTAATTTTAAAGTAAAAGTGAAGGCTAAATGCAATTCTGTACTTCTTGCTTCTAATTACTTTATTTAAGTAAGATCAAAAGAATACTTCATGAAAAAGGTTCCGATTCTAAATATTTTGATATGTCCCGCCTCCAGATAATCTACCCTTTATTTCATATCGAAAATTTAGTCTAATTGGATTTCAATATTAATAGCCTAAGTAAGAAAAGAAGCAATCGCCTATTCAATTTCCTTTCTTATTAATGGCTATCAATGACCCTTGAGTAAAAGTGAAGCGAAATTTAACTTTCACTTACATTCTGAAAAGGAGTTAATAATTTTCTGAAATTTAAAAAGATTTCATGACGTGTGTTTTGATATTAATCGTATGCATACCGAATATTATTTTATAAAAAATTAAATGAAAATAGTGTACAGAAATCTCAAAATTCCGGCAACGAAACTGTTAGGCTAATTGTTTTATCTATATTCAGCTTAGTTGAGAAAATTATTTTGTTTGAAAAGAACTTTTCAGTTTACGATATACTTTCGTTCCTCCAAAAAATTTACTTTCAAAACCTTCGATAAAATTTCTTAACCTGAAATAGGCCAAATAATTTACAAATTAAATTAGTTAAATTATCTTCGTTGCTATTAATTTCTGTAATAATTAACACCATACTTCCATCGCTGTAAAATTTAATTGAGTATTAATAAATAATAAAATAATTGCTGAAATTCATGAAATTCAATAAGGAAAGCTAAACATTTTTTTATTATTTGCTGCACTAACAGAATCTACTGATTAAATATTTCTCAAAATAAACTCAACAGATTTTTTTTTAAAGTTTGAATCGAGGGAATAAACATACAAACGGCAGATAATAAATTAAAAGAAAAAAAAGCTGAGGAACATTTCAGTCCGCTTTGTTTACATATTCCCCCCTCCAAACAATTCGTTTCTATTTAAGAATAATTTCTTTTCAGTTTTGAAGAAAACGCAGTTTAGAAACGGAATATTAAATTTTACCGAAAATGTTCCAAGAATTCCTTAAAACAAAACCACTTTTTTAATTTTTTTTTTATTTCTTCTAAAGATTCATTAACTTAAACCTTCAAGTATAAACTTACGTTTATGATAAAAGCAGAAAAGCAACAACCTTGTGTTTAGTTAAATTTCGAGGGCAAACAGTTACAGGTCGCTGTGTTCATCAGGATCAAGAAATCTGCAACGAAGGGAAAGCAATGATTGTATATATACCCAACAGGAGTAAAGCGAACGTGAAGGTAGCGCCATCTGTCCGCAGAAATCAAAACGAAAATTGAAAAATTAAGTTAACATAATTTTAAAAACGTTAGGAAGGACTGGATTGGCATTAAAGTCATTAATTAAACAAGATAAACCTTTGCGAATGTGAAAAGCTTCAAGAAAATCAAGTTCGCCAATGGAAGAAACATTTTGGGTAATATTTGCAGACCTAAATCCAGAATTGTGATTAAATTTTCAACTAAGATTAGCCATGGAAGAATTTTTAATTTCGCCTTTTCGGACATTCAATTCGTTTTCCTCGATGTGAAACTGATCTTTTAAGTTTGACCGCTATATCTCAAACCACACTGATACGATAGGCTATATATTCCCTAAGGATTAAAGTCAGAAATGAAATCTTTAAGAATAGAACCATGGATGTTATTCATTAGCGAGAAAATGACTTGAAAATTGAATCTCTTGACAAAACGTGACATTTTTTAACTAACAGAAGGATGAGATGGAAACACGATAAGGTTACTAATGTTATTTCTAACAGCGGAATGGCTTCTTCGATGGCAAGATGAAATTTTTTAAAGGCTTTATTAATGACCATGGGAGCAAATCTTCGGTCACTGGTAGCTGATCTCAAATAATTGAGTTCATCAGCAAGCAAACGTTCTGAGAACAAACTTTAAAAGTGTGAAATACATGATAGTAAAAAGAAACTTTCATTTTCTTTATTTGTTGTCATTGCTGCTGAATTCTCATTTCTGTCAAATTCTGTCGAATTTGAACTGCATATACGAAGACATATGATTGCCTGCGTAATATCTGAAGCCACCCACAAAAAATCCCTTCAGTAACCAAAATTACCAGACTATGCAGTTGATCATTTAAGTAATAATTTAAAATATTTTATTTAAGCAAATTTTATTCTCGAACAATTTAGGATTCTATAGTTTTTATTACGAGACTATTTACATAAAATTACCAATATAAACATTGAGGAACTAAACATTTTAGACCTAATTTTTTAAACCCTGCTTGTGAGATTTTTACAAAACTTGGCACTTTGGCTTTATTTGAGTAAAATCGAAATATAGAAGAAAAATAGGTATGTCACTTCAGAAAATGTCCCATTTTTTGTTAGGATACCTGTGTGAGAATAATGCTACATTTAAATCTAACGTATAACCGAAGTCGCACTTTCGAGACTTGAGAAAAGCAAGTTAAATTTCATCAATCGGCTCAGTAGAACGGGAGATATAGAATTGTCTTTATTTTTCCTCCGCAAGGTGTACATTAATGCACAGAACTTTATTTTTTCAGTTCTAAACAAAATGAATTTTAAACTCACACGCAGCATCCTCAGATATTTGAAAACTTAGTTTAAAAATCCACTAACAAGAAAAACGGTTATTGATACTCATCTTACAAAATTAAATGACACTGAATTACATGTAAAATGCTTATGTTTTCTTTTTATGATATTTGTATCTACCTAAGCATTCATATTTTTTCTAGAAATCACAAGCTTGTTTTAAGCGTGCATTTTTGTAACTATCCATAAAGTCTGCTCAGAAACCACTACTGTCAGAAATACATTAAGAAATACAAATTAAAAAAGTACTCTTACTCACCTGTAAAGAGAGGGCAAAACCTTTCAAAAATGGCAATAGGTCCAGTACTGGCATATTGTCCGAATGAGAGTTCCATGAACATGAGCGGGAGACCAGCCAATAACATCATGCAAATGAAAGGGATGAGAAAGGCACCTAGAAAAGTTTAAGAGTTCAATAATGTTTTTATATTAATAAACGATTCTTATTTCAACTTCAGCACTTGTGGAAAATGTTATTATTATTATGTAATACAGCATTTAAATAAAAGACGTTGAGGTATAAAAATTATGCATGCGGGTTTTTAACTAGTTAGAGCGATTGAAAGTATTTTAAAAATACAGTTTCTTGGCTGAGAGTAACCAGTACTATCCTTTAGAGCAAACACCTTAGCGTTTCAGCAAACACCATAACAATTATAGTTGAGAGGATTTACCAACAGATATAGCTGTGAGAGGTTTTTATAATCCTTGCTGAAGTTTGAGAATGAACCCATAAGCGGCCATGCCATAAAGTCGCTGAACACTGGTAATACGGTCGGAGGTTCGAATCTCAACGAACAGACTAGCTGCAGGAGCGTTTTCGTGGTTTTTCCCATGTGCGAGCCAGTTTCTGTTCTCTATGAATACATCCCTCTGCTTCCTTGTGTGTTTTCCAGAATTAAATTACAAACCAAAGCTGGGCATGCTGCATGCAAGATTTCGTTATTTTTATCCATGTGTAAGGTGGATACGAGCCAGTTTCTCTAAAAAATCCTCCACGAAGGCATTCTTCCCGATAGGACATATGGCCCTCGAGTTGCTTTGGTTTAATTAATGAATAAGCTGGATATTTTGGAAACCGGTTGATTAAGTTTACGTTTTAGTTACAGCTGCTTTCAAATAAAACGTTTTTCAACCATCTTGCTCTTGACTGAATAATACCTTAGGTCTACGTTACAGCCATGATGTAAACTTGGCTTCTCAAAAGAATTCTGAAACAAATATACAGTTTGTACTACAAGTGGTTTTAGAAAGTCATAGCTCGTAAAAGCCATATTATTTAGCTCTCTTTAGACTTCATGATTTCTGAAATCGAAAGAGACAAATTAATTAGCAAACTGCCGTCTTCCACTTGGTCATACTTTGCTTATGTAAACAAAGATATATTTTCTCCGGAAAAAATTCATATTTTTCTACATGACCTATTATTATAAATACAGTATAAAAAGTTTATTATCTTTGTTACATGCATTCAGCTAATTCTCTATAGCTTTATAGCGATTTTTCATATCAATATGTGTAAGTGTTTCTGAATCGTATCATATACAAATAACATTACAATTTTATTTACGTTTCAATTTCTAGAAACACATTTTATTATAGCATCACTTGTATTTCAATAAATACCATTGTCTGCTCAATTCTTGAAATACCATTGTCTGCTCAATTCAAATGGATTTCAATGCCTTCATCAATATCATATTCAACCTTCTTATTTGATAAAAGCTCTAGCAATAGATAATCTTAATTCACCAATGGGGGGGGGCAAAGTAGAGTAAATCACTCGTCTTATGATGAACTCAGATTACCAATCTTTCTGTTCATGTTTGTTACCTGGCAGACTGCAGGTGAGTATCCTGAATTTTTATGAAAAGGCATTCACCTCAAAATCAAATTTTTAAAAATTATATTAATGAATGGATGTTTGAATTATATGTATTCGGAAGCTGGCTATAGTATTTGCGTATTAAAATGCGCTGGTTAAGGCAGTGCGCTGGTTAAGGCATTTTGACCAAAGGAATACAGCCCGTAAATATTCCTCTTTTCAAGTCGTTCGCATTTTGACTACCTTTTCCTCCACAGTTGCTGAAGTTTCCTCAGGCATTTCGCTTTCTCAGAACACTGATTCGTTCATTATGTATTTAATATTAATATCACTTTCACTAACTGTTAAACAAAATGTGGCATTAATATTTTATGTAAATGTTGTACGAGAGTTTCTCCTATTTAATGCTCCAGTGTCCCCTGGCTAGAAATACAATTTTACAGAAAAAAAAAAAATTAGAAGCACTGAAACCAAATATCGGCCGAACACCTTGATAACAAAATGTTAATAAAAATAAAAATGTTTCTTTCTTAAGACAGATCACATCCTGAAACTGTTAAATTCATAACTTTCAACTAATCGGGGAAAATTAAATTCTTCTACAGCATCATAAGCTCTTAATTCGTCATTTTTCTTGTATTTTTAAATCTGATTAGGTTTGTGTTTTTATCTTACGTATTACTTACTGCATATACCCTTTAAGTTCCATCTTATTTTTACTATTTTACAGATCAAAATCTAAACATCGGTTAAAGTAAGTCCTATAAATAATATATTCTATATAAAAGTCATGTTTTAAAATGTCGTGTTTTAAAATTAAATTTTTTTAAATCCTTTATTATTGTACAAAAAATATCAGAAATAAGACTAAATATCTTTAAAAAATAAGCCAGCTTTAAGGAAATTAGACAGCTTTAATCTTAAATGTACACTACAATGCAAATTTTGAAGGAGAAAACTTGCTTTTATGCAATAACAAATGAATATTGATGATGCGTAAAACGTAATAATAAATTGCGCCAAATTTATTGCTGAAGAACCAGCTCCTTCCATCTAATGCGATAAGCGCAGCGCATGCAGACAGGGAAAACTGGCTGTTTCTTCACGTCGCGTGAAGAAAGGAGGGAAAAAGCTTTTCCTTTCGACCTTGTAAAACGCCTTTTTTTGTTAATAAGTAGATGATGGTATTTAGGCAGCAATCACAATCAGGAAATCGACACGATAGCGCGTAATCCCTTTTGTTTTAAATTTCTGTTTCTAAATAAAATCGATGATGTTCTTATTATAGATAAAATCACTTACGCAAGGCAAAGCTATATATTTAAGTAATTTATAAGGATTTTACAACAATGAGTAAAAACGAAAAATTACTTTTTCACAATTTCATAATAATTTCCGCGTTCTATAAAACGACTCCCTTGGCAGACTGAATGGTTGCATGTCAATTTTGTGAAGTGATTTTCTCGTATGTAACAAAAATACACTAAGATAACCTCCTTTAGCTAGCACACCCACTGGTTCTTTTTTATTATCTATTAAAAAATCTGATGTGTACACCATATGACTACCTCATATCGGAATACTAAATTATGCTCATTTTCCCTGCCTTTCATTTAAACTTATTTCCTCGAATTTCATTAGAGATATATTTCTCATTCAATTAATTCAGTTCTCAATTCGTGACAAGGAAAAAATACGGAAAAACTCAAAATATCTATATTAAAAATTAAAAGATATAGAAAAACAAAAAACACCAAGTACAGTTAAAACAATTACAGAATAATTTTTGCAATTAAAACTACAGTTTCTACGCAAAAACAAGTAATTCGACCAGTGGGCAAGAAGGCAGATTTTTCGGTGCAAAAAACTGAAAATTTACTTTTGTTCCAACTCGGAAAACAAGACACTGAAGGAGTACAAACTGAATTTGTGGTGGACGCTATGCTAATTCAATATATGAAATAATTTAATAACTTAAATGATAATTCCAGAATGGATTAAGCATGATTTAATTCACAATAATAAAAGAAGACGTTACACTTTGTTGTTGCGAAGCTTATTTTCCCAGATTGACAACATATATCCTATTCTGCTAAGTTTCAAATGCAAACAACTATGGCTGCTATGTTAAAACAATTAGGCTTAGCCGCACTTAAACAACTTTAAAACTGTTGATAATTCTAGAACTATAACATGCAGGTTGACTAAAGCCATTAAAACATTAACCGAAATATAAGAACAACATAATTCAATCATTTTTAAAGCAAAAATTGCACAATTTACCAACATATAAGAACAAAAATATTGAACTCAACGGAGCAAATATATTGTTAAAGGTTTCAATACCTTAAGCGTCCCAAATGAAGTCGTATTACTAAGCTCGTAATTTCTAATAGTACTCTAATATTTTTTACTTCCTTGTACGAAGTAAAGGAACTATTGTAATCGCGAAAAATGTCGGGAATCATATTTCGACAATAATATTCATTTTGATCGTTCTCGAATCCATTTAAACGATGTTTTCGCGTGACATCTGTATATATAAATAGGAAAAAAGATTCTTTTTTTTTCCTAAAAGGATTTTGAAATGGATTTAAATCGATTCAGAAGAAATATTTTCGTAATATCTATATGCACGTATGTGACTCAAAAACGAGTGGACTCGGAATGCTCCTGAAATTTTATAAATGGAACTGCTATAACATCTAGTTGCGCACTTCTATTTTTTGGTTGCAATCGGTCGCATGAAACGTATCTTAATATACCGTCTTTTTCTGAAAATAAGACATCCTCCGAAAATAAGCCCTATCGTGATTTTCGGAACTTTTTGTAAAATAAGACATCCCCCGAAAATAATCCCTAGTTAAAATAATGTGACAAAACGAATTCGTCAAAATCAGAATATAATTCAGAATTTTATTTATGACGATGTTCCAGAAGAAGATGACATGATTGTAATTGAATAAATTTAAATTTCTGTATTCCGTGTAAAATATATATTAAATAAAATATATAAATATACTTTTATTTTTGCCCTGCCCCGAAAATAAGCCCTAGCGCGAATTGTGGACCAAAAAAGAAAGTAAGACAATGACTTATTTTCGGAAAAAGACGGTATATATATATATATATATAGTATGATACCCATTCTGTTACTCGGCTCGGTGAGCTCAGCTGTTCTTATATGTTGGTAAATTGTGCATTTTATGCTTTAAAAAAGGGTTAAATTATGTTGTTATTATATTTTGACTAAAGGTTTTATGCCTTTAGTTTATCTTCATGCAATATTTGTAGAATTATCAACAATTTAAAAGTTGTTTAAGTGGTACTAAGCCTAACGAGGCTGCTATTTATTTTTATTTGAAACTCTTAGTAGAATAGTGAATTTAGTCAGTTTGTGCACTAACTTCTGCGTCTTTTTCCGAATTGCTTGTTTCTGCGTACTCACTGTACTTTTAATTGTACAAATTGTTTTTTAAACTCGTGTTTTAGGTTTTTCTGTATTTTACAATTTTTAATAAAGATGTTTTGAGGTTTTATGTATTTTTGCCTTACCGCGAAGAGAGAAA